TTCCCCTTTCTCTCTGCTCCCCACCCCCTCTCAAAATAAATAAATAAATGATTAAAAAATAAAAATTAAAAAAAGCAAAGTTGGAGAGGTATGGTTTTGTTAAAATTTTATAAGTCCTTGAAATGTTTAACGGAGGGCAGAGCTTTGAGACAGTTTAGACATTTTAAGTAAAAGGAAAAGAAAGAACCAAAATGTATAACTTCCAAACCTGTAGGAGATAAAAAAGAATAAAAAAATTTTTGACTAATGGGAAAAAAGTCATGAAAGAAGGAAAAAAAAGTGTAGAAAAAAAGCAGAATAAGAAAAATCCCATGAAAAGGGGATATAAATAAATCCACATATATTGTTAGTAAAAATAAACGTGGTTGGAGTAAAACTTGTGAGTGTAAAGACAGAATATTGTTTGCATTTAAATATCCAAAATGTAGCTACATTCTTTTCATAAAAGTCACCTAAAACATAAGGGCATAAAAAATGATGGAAAAAGACAAACCAAGCAAATACTAACCAAAGTAGATGTAGGTATGTTAAAGTTAAATATAGAAACATACAAAACATATAATGCATACAAAACATACAAAGTGACAAATATTATTAAGGATAAACTGTCATAGTATATTGATAATAGAAAGAATTCACCAGGAAGATGTAACAGTTCTATATCTCTCTGCACCTAAATATATTGCCTCAAAATACATAAGGCAAAACTTGACTGAATTACGAGCAGATACCAACAAATCTATCATAGGACGAAAATTTTAATATACCTCTCCATGTTGATAGAGAAATCAGACCAAAAATTAATAAGAATGTAGATTTGACCAGCCGATTAAAAAAAAACTTTGGGGTGCCTGAGTGGCTCAATCTGTTAAGCACCGGACTTCAGCTCAGGTCACGATCTTGTGGTTTGTGAGTTCAAGCTCTGTGTCGGGCTCTGTGCTGACAGCTCAGAGCCTGGAGCCTGCTTTGGATTGCGTCTCCCTCTCTCTCTGCCCCTCTCCCTAATCACACTCTGTGTCTCTCTCTCACTCAAAAATAAACATTAACAAAAACTTCAATTGATGCATATAAAATTCTATACCCAATATTTACCAAATACTCATTCTTTAAAAATATACATAGATTGGGGCACCTGGGTGGCTTAGTTGGTTAAGTGTCCAGCTCTTTATTTCAGCTTAGGTCATGATCTCATGGTTCATGGGTTTGAGCCCCACATCTGGCTTTGTGCTGACAGCACAGAGCCTGCTTGGGATTCTCTGTCTCCCTCTATCTCTCTCTCTGCTTCTCCCTTGCTTGCGCACTCTCTCTCTCTCTCAAAAATAAACATTTAAAAATTTTTTTAAAAAGCACACATAGATCTTTTATCACATTGCAATAAAATTAGAATTCCAAGAAACAAAAATTAAAAAAAGAATTTACTTGGAAATTAAAAGAAAGTAAGTTATAAAACCAGTTTGTGCAATATTATCCCATTTAGGGAAAAATAGTATCTATGTTACACATTGAAAAAAATGTCAAAAAGAGACACTAAAAATGGTAAAGGTGGTTATTCATGGTTTGTTAGCTTACAGGTGATTTTTAGCTTTGCTTTTTAAAATTTTTATTTATTTATTTTTAATTTTTTTATGCGTTTATTTATTTATTTAGAGACAGTGAGCACAAGTGGGGTAGGGACAGAGAGACAGGGAGAGAGAATTCCAAGCAGGCTCTGCTCTGTCAGAACAGTGCTGGACACAGGGCTTGAACTCTTGAACCATGAGACCATGACCTGAGCTGAGATCAAGAGTTGGTCACTTAACCAACTGAGCCACCCAGGCCCCCCAGCTTTGCTTTATTTTTAAATAGCTTTTCTGTGTTGTTAAATTTTCCTGTTTGGAACATGTAAGCATATACATAGTTTTTCTAATTAGAAAAAAGAAATCAACAATGAATTGTACTTAGGGTAATGTGTAGAATAATAACTTGGCTGGCTATTGCAATAGCATCATAACCGATCTCATTTTCATTGTGGCCTAATACAGTCTCTTTCCCAAAGCACTGAGAATAAAATCCAGTTTCCTAACCTCGGCCTGCAAGGTTCTACATGACATTGCTCCAGCCTACATTTCCAATCTTACCTCCAGTCACTCCCCAGATTCACCCTACTCCAACCACACCAGCTTTCATTTCCTTGAACTCTCCAAGTTCTTTCCATTTGGGTCTTCACATTTGCTACCCTTTGTACCTGGAAGCCATGCTGCTCTCCTTACCCCAATATTGTCTTTGCCTGGCTAAGTCCTAAGTATTCTTCATGTTTTGGCTAGAACCTTAAGGAAGCCTTTTCTTCTCTCACTCCCCAGACTTAAGTTTGGTTTCTCTGATAGGTATTTTCAAAGCACCCATTCTAGGGGCACCTGGGTGGCTCAGTTAGTTGAGTGTCTGACTTCGGCTCAGGTCATGATCTCAAGGTTCATGAGTTTGAGCCCTGCATTGGGCTCTGTACTGACAGCTTGGAGCCTGGAGCCTGCTTCGGATTCTGTGTCTCCCTCTCTCTCTGCCCCTCCTCTGCTCATGCTTGCTCTCTCTCTTTCTCTCTCTCAAAAATAAACATTAAAAATTTTTTTAAAAAGCACCCATTCTTTTCTTTCATACCAATAAAAAGAAACTTGAAAATACATGTTTATGTGTTTACTTGGTTATTGTTCATCTGCCTTGATAAACTCTGTAAGGACAGGGACCCCATCTGGTTTGTTCATTGTTGTATCTCCAGCACCTGATATAGTGCCAGGAACTTGGTAAGCGCTTAGTAAATATTTGTTGAAAGAATGCATAAATGAGTGAATGAATGAATGATTGAATCCTCACAAGTGGTGCTACTGGAGATTATGGAACCAAAAAATGAAGCAAAGAAGTTCATAAAGGAGAAGACTAATGATATGCCACAACTGTGGTTTTAAATTCCAGTTCTCCTGGTTATGGCTAAGATTCATTGAAAAATGCTGACAAAGCGGTGCCTGGGTGGCTCATTCGGTTGAGTGTCTGCCTTTGGCTCAGGTCATGATCTTGCAGTTCATGAGTTTGAGCCCCACATCAGGCTCACTGCCATCAGCGCAGAAACTGTGGGCGCTGAGCCCACTTAGGATTCTCTGTCTCCTTTTCTGCCTACCCCTCCCCCACTGTGTTCTTTCTTTCCCTCTCCCTCTCTCTCAGAAATAAGGAAACATTAAAAAAAAGAAAAAATGCTGACAAGATGAATTTCCTCTTTGTCTTCTTATTCTACATTTGCTTTACTGGACTATTCCCCTTTAAAGGAAGAAAGTCCTGGGAATTAGCTTAAAAACAAAACAACAATGACAACAAAGTTGTTACTTCTGAGGCCAAGGACAGTGAAGTAGGATGAGGCGCAGATGGGTATAAATTACTGGATCGCATTTCATTGTCTTGAAGCTCTGTTTCATTACATAATTGATACAGTACCACAAAACCAAAGCCCAATTCAAGTTGGCCTGGATATGCTCTATCTTCTCTTCCAGGGACAACTTGTGCACATTCAGTCAGCTTGAATAATAATGGTCTTTGTAATTAGGGCCAGTACATAGGAAAAAGAGATACATTTTCCACTGACTCACTGTTGCTCTCTAGAGAAGAAAAATATTGGTTACTGCTTAGGCTTGCCCCAGAGTTTACACCGTAGGGTGTAATCTTAAATTTTTAAAATACAGCCTTGAAAAAAGATGCTGAGGAAGGAAAGTAGGACACTTTTTTGTTCCTGTAACATCATGGACTTAAATTCACAGACACTAGTTCCTTTTAGTTAATCCCACCCTCAATTCTTGCCCCCCACAGAAGAATGTCATGGTGGTGATTTCAATGGTGAATTCTCTACAAGAGCTCAATGTTTTAACACAACTATTTTTGCCAAAATCTCAGTCTTTTCCTTCTATTAGATCTAGTTACAAACTAGAGGCTTGGTAGTTATCTACATACGTAAGTCTGGAAAATATCTGCTTATTTAGTTCCTTAATAGTTCACTTAGATGAGATAAACATCTTTCAATTTTTCATCTCTTCTCAAAATTTCACTCCCAGTTAACTCCACAGTTCTACAGTGATGTGTGAGGCCTAGTTACATGAGCTTTAAAATAAGATTTATTCATAAATAATTCTGAAATAAACTTCAGCAATACAGTCCAGAAGGGGCAGGGGGCATTGACATAACTCATAAAAATAGGTATGCCCAATTATGAATAAAGATAAGAAATTAAAGAGAACAGGTTTTGTAAATGCACCACACTTTTCTTTATATTCCTTTTAAATGTCAAGGATTTCAATACTAAATATACACACAGTAGTCCACAAGGTATTGTTAGTAATTATTAGTGCACAAAAGGAAGAAGATTTTTAACCTAACCAGATCCAGACACTGAAAGCAGGACTGAGGAAGCTAAATAACACTGTGTGTTCTGAAGTATTTCTTATTCAAGTAAAACATGTTGTTTAGGATGGCGTACCAAACTATTTATAATCCTTTGTTATTTGTACATCCCAGGATTGTGAGAACCTAACCAGAGAATACTGTAAATCATTTGATCAAATCAATGAGAAGGCAGCCAAATAAACTTTTCTGGCATAATAATGACCAATTGCAATGGAACTGATTTTATCATAGTATAATTAATTGGCTTAAGTTCTTCAGACTACTGAAATAAGTGGACCAACCATTTCATGGTCATATTTCAGTTTGAATTGACCATGCAGTAATCTAATTGGTTAACCTGCAAATTCTATCCAGCTATCACCAAAAAAATGGAATAGCTTATGAATATAAGAAAACAGTATTTCCCACCAGAGTAATAGGAATGACGGTAAATGACCAGGAACTCACTAGAATTGAATTTAGACCCTTTATGAACTATGTCAGAATAATAAAAAAGATAGGAGACATTTGCCAATTTTTCAAAGGTTTTTTTAAAAATTTTTAGCAGTGCTGTTTTACCATGTTTCCTTCTTGTTCATGAAGCTTCAGAAGAAGTTAATGAAATCCAAGTCTCTTTTCATTGTTAGGGCGACTTCAAGAGTCTCCGTCTCCAGGATATAGAAAGCTTTGGCACTGTTGCATTCCACAGGGTGGGGAAGGGTTATCAACAGCTTCCTAAAAATCAAAACAAAATAAGACAAGATAAAAAACCTAGAATCAACTTCCTAAAGTAATATCAAGAAGATATCACTTTTATTTTATTTTATTTTATTTTATTTTATTTTATTT